ATATATCATTATTGCATGAAGTTATATTTAGTCGATTAGAATAAATTACATGTTTATTTATATTAGTTGGCAAAAAATCTTATATCTTTATTTCCCGGAAATTTTATTTCTCCTCTTTCTGCTCTTCTAGCAAATTCCTTATAAAACAACGTCATCTGAAGCTGAAATTTAGTTGAAACTGAAAATACCGCTTCTAAATGGTTGATATCGGTTTCAATTTATGTTGTCGGAAAATTGGTTTTAAAAAAAATAAAAAATATAATATGTAAAAACAATTGCGAAGGAATTATAAGAAATGTCTTTTTATGCATTGTTGCTAAATTACTTTTTAATATGTAATTTGTCTATCGACTAAATATAACTTCATGCAATAATGATATATTAAAATCTGGGTGCCGGTCAAATCCCGACAGGTCATAATCCCAACAACAAAATCCCGACAGTCAAAATCCCGACAATTAAAAATCCCGACAGTCAGAATTTTCAAGTAGAAAATCCAAAATATAGGTATGTTTAAAGCGAAGTAGACTCATAATTTAATTAACTTCAGGGTTAGGTCACTTTAGATAAGGGTTAGCTATGGATTATGATATTTTTCATCAGAATATCTGACTGTCGGATTTTTAACTGTCGGATTTTTGCTGTCGGAATTTTTCTGTCGGGATTTTTTTTTGTCGGGATTATGACCTGTCGGATTTTACCCAAACCCCTAAAATCCATGATATATATGCATGTATAAATTTTCTTTAAAATACTGCTGCTATGTATATCTTGTCGAATAAGTGAATTAAACTCTTGACAAGGTAATTTCAGTAATTTTTTATAAAGTTTAAATAAATTTATTTAAAGGTCTTTCATGAGACATTGTCATTTGTTATGTTTTAACGTCAAACATTTTAAACCATTTTTTAACAGAATTAAATCAAACAATCATTATTTTTAAGATCGTATTTTAAAACATTTGCCATCCTTATCTATAAACATCGAGATTTCCATTCCAATATTTTAATAATCTCATTTTTTTCAATTTTAACCACTTATCATTCATCAAATTTTCTTGTAATATTTCTTTAACTACTCTAACAGCAGAATTTAAAGCACCAACAATCCAAGGACTATGTGCATCAGTATGTTCACCGGCCCAATGTATAAATTCTTCAGGTCTCATCATCGCTCCCATCAAAAATTCTAGTTGTCCAGCTCCATATAAAGCAAAAGCACCTCCAACAACGGTTTTATCATTTGCCCAATAATGAGCCTTATTATTCTTTTTATCAGGAATCCATTCTTTTTCCGCTATTTTTCCATGAATAGTCACTATATCTTTTAAAGCAAGTTCAAAAAGTTCTTCCTCAGTATATGGAGCAAATTTCGCAGCATCGTTACCCCACGTATAGGAAGCTAATAGAACACCAGATCCATTTGTCGGTAGACCTTGATAATATGAAGGGTAGAGAATAGTACGAACAGGAAGGTCGGTTGACGAAGCTCCGCCAACAATACCAACATTGGAGGTCGTCTGCAAACCACCGGTTTCTAGAGGGGACTTTTCCCAGAAACGAGTCTTAAATTGTAGAAATATTTTTGCAGCATTTGTATATTCTATTTCACGCAATGCGCGTCGTTTATCATATGATAATGCTATTTTAAGAAAAAATAATCTAAAATTAATTATGTTAATAGTATACTGGTTTTAAAAGAAAAACTTACTTGAAGGTAATTTCCAATGACGGACGCAACCCAAAGAAGCAGTAATAACTACTCTATCAAAAATTTCAAATTTTTTCTTCTCCTTAGTTATCCAATGAACCTTAACACTTTGACCATCATTAGCCTTTTCCAATTTAAAAACTTCACTATTATACTTTAATTTATATTTTGCCTTTTTAATCAGTGGCAAGAAAGCATTAGGTAATCGTTGCATTCCTTTGTCGATAGTTTTCCAGCTTATATTATAATCACCAGAACCACTAAAACTATATGATTCTATGGCCGTCTTAACAAAGCCAAATTTGAATTCACCTAAATTAATTAATAATAAAATTTGTAAATTAACATATGATAATTATAAATTTAATTGATACGTGAATTACATGCCTATGCCCGCTTCGTTCATTTCAATAGCTTTAATAATTTCGTCATAATCTTCCCATTTTGTTGGGAATTTAGCAGGAAGAAAGATTTCTTTTAGATAAGAGTAAGCAGAATGTTGATCATATCGTTTCAAAGCTTTAAGACCTTTTTCAAAATCTTTATCAAGCTCTTTAAAGAAAGATGATAAAGCCTCATTCCAAAGATCGGCATAATCATCCGGTAGTGAATCAGGAAAACCTAACTGAGTAACTTTAGCAGTTGCAGAGTAATTTTTGGTCATTATTTTACCATCTGGAGCCTTTTTATTATTGAAATAATATAAAGCGCTATTATATGGATGATAAGTAAATGATTAAAACTTTTTCAATTAAAATAATTGCTAATATATACCACACATATAACAAAATGCATACTTTGGATTGCTAAGTATAAAAGGAATAGTTTTGATTTCTTTATCTGGGTTGTCATCCTTATTATATTCATTCAAATAATCAATAGTATCAAAAACTAGCTGATGTGCAGAGAGTTCTGGATGGCCATCGATATAAGGTAATCTCATTGCGCCAAGTTCGCCATATAAACGTTTTTCATCGTTAGGATCATCGGTAAAATAATGAGTATGAATACGCCCACCAACACGATCTTGAGATTCAAGAATAGTAACGTCTTTAATACCAGCTTCTTTTAAAAGAAGTGCTGTAAATAGTCCTAGTAGAGTGTAAAATTCATTTATTAATAAGATATAAAATAACTTTTAGGGCATGAAATAGGAAAAAGCTTATATACCAGCCATTCCGGCACCTATAATGCAGATTTCTACAATTTTTTAATATTTAAAGTTAATATAAATTGAATGTACAAATAAAAAAGGATAAGTGAATGATATATCACTTGGATTCTCGTTTGGAGTACTTCGAGGAGTAATCTCAATATTGTCATCACTAATTCTGTACATAATGAAATATTAGCATAAATAAGGATTCATCTATGATCATCAAATACCGGTATTGCCTACGACCTTTTATGATAATTCTCATAGTAATAATTTTTTATATGAGCTCTTTTATGGTGATTTTCGTCGCGTCTTTCAAATTTTTGGGTCGCTTTGCAATATATTAATATCAATTTTAGATGTTAGTACGTGCTAAACTAAAAGTAAATGTGGATTCTAATGTCTAAACGGTAAATATTTTTATAACTCTTACTTACGTCCTTTTATCAAATTTATGTCGATATGAAAAAAACTTTAGTATATTAAACAAATCTTTATTTAATTAAGATATATACATACGACCTATAGCATAAAAATTACAAATTTATATTAATAAAGTAAAATATACAACATTATTTAAAATCGAATTATTTTAAAAAGTATTACTTTGAGCAATTATGGGTAGAACTAATGCGATAATAAAAATTAATTGAAGTTTTGATGACAACATGATGAGGAATCTATCTGTTAGATCAAGGAAAAGGAAATTTCGTGCAGGAGTAAAGTGACGAAGCAGAGTTTAAATACTTCTCCATCTTCCGCTATCCAAATGTTGTTTTACAGTTTTTTTAAAAAACAATGGTGAATATATTTTAATAATACTTCAGGAGAAGAAATAATAATAAATAAACAATAAATATTTTAGCATATTTGACGATATATGCTCATTCCCCTCAAAAACTATTCCCCGACATATAATCTCTCGACCCCCACAAATGGTGGCAATTTAACATTTTAATAACTGTAGGTACAAATTGTAACCCTGCGTAATATCGAGTATATTACGGAAACAGGTTTCTAGACAGTTGATGCAGGAAAATTATTTCCACAAATGTGAAAATTGACGATCATTAAGAATAAGTTATATGCAGAAGTTGCGTTTTTGACATCTAAATATAAATTTTGACCGTAGCCATGTTATTTTACACAAATAAAATGATATGAGTGCGCGAGGGAAGTAGCACAAAATATTGTACGATTTTGACAAATCAAATTTCAAGATCAGAATGATCTTAAAATTTGATTGGTCAAATCGTACAATATTTTGTGCTACTTGCACCTTTTCCCCCTCGCGCACTCAGATAATATAAAAAACATATCAAAGAAGTAAGAAAAAAAACTAGTGGTTATTATTATTACTTGTGTATGGTTTATAAAAATTATATAACACTAAACAAAATAGGTTTTGCTTTATCTTTATCTACTTATTATCTATATCTAATTTAAAAACAATTTTTTTATTAAGATAAGGTTTATTATAGTATATATTATTTATATATATGTTGTAAGTGAAAACGGAATTTAAGTGGATTCGGAATTTATATATAAAGCCTCCGTTTTGGGGTTCATTTTATCATATATACTCTCTAACCCTATTTTAACTACGTAGGAAATTCCAAATCCACTTAAATTCTATTCCCATTTACAACATATACAACTTTACTACACAAATATGGTGGCTTAAACTAGATACCGTATTCCTCCGAAAATAAGCACCCTTTTTTGCACTTAATGTTGGCCGTGATTGTCGTAAAGCGGGCCAAAGTTGGCATAGTGTGGGCCAGGGGTGCTTATTTTCGGGGAGTGCTTATTTTCGAGGAATACGGTATTATTAATAATCTACACTATAATTAAACTCAATACTTGTGATTAGTTTTTTTTAACTGCTACTTGGTTAGGCAACATCCCTAATTTATGTCAAACCAGTATTGTATTTTTTCTTTTTTTTTTAAGGTGAGGTTTTGCCTTTATTTTTATTTATTTGTATTGGATAACTACTAGGGGTATCACAGGCCGGAGCCGGTTTACAAATTTTTACAAGAATGAGACTTAGACTATAGACTATTAAAATCTAATTTATCTGCAACCTAAACCTATTAGAGTGGTTAAAACTTATCTAAATTAAATAACTTAAGATATGATTAGTAGGTGTATTATATTTAATCCATTCAGTTATTCAGCTATTTATTTTTTTAATAACTTTACTAAGTATGGGACAAGTTTCATAGTTATTGTCTGTATGTTGTTGATTGGGAAAGCCATATATACAATTGTATATATATGTTGTTTTAGAATATCAGAAGTTAGAGTTAGAAGAGTTGTTTGGTATTTGTTGATTTTGTAAAAACCGTTTGGATATATTGTTTTGTTGTTTCTATTCTATTAATTTTGTGTAGTAAGGTTTCCAGTGATAATTGTAAATGTTTTGTGTGAGTTGCAGTAAAAATTTAATTATAATATTAGTGGTTGTTTTATTATTATCTGTATATTTTTGAATAGTTTAAATTAGTTGTATTAGAATATATTCTTTTATTGTAATAAATAGGTTAATGTTGTTTGGTTGTCATTGGTTTAATAATAGACAATAGTGATTGCTGAGTTTGTTGTGTAAATCATAAAGTTGTGTAATTGTAATATCTAGTTTTAAAGAGTGAAAAATTCTTGTATAGTGTTTTTGATAGTAAGCTTTAGGTCTGGTAAGCCTGAATATATTAGCCAGTAGATGTGTCCCTCATGATTCTTATATTAATGCAGTTTATATCTGGAAATAAATTTGGATATTGTGTATAAAGATATAGCAGAATAGATAAAATGCCTAATATTAGTTTAATTCTAAAAGTCTTTTCTTGACAAAGTTTGAAGTTGGTATAGAATGATGTTTTTTTATTATTGTTGTTTAGGTATAACCATGTTGTATTCTAGTTGATCTGTGCAGATACAAGTATAATATCTTCATACGATGTTGAGATGACCACATTGCTGTAATATAAGCATTGCAGATATTTTTGATAGATCTACAGATAGGTTGTTCAAAAATATGTTTTTGGTATTGCAGACAAAATAATGAGTTGTAAATATTGTTTAGAATAAACTAATATATCAGCAGTGTTGTTAAATATATTGTCACTATGGGCTGTTACTTTATGAAAGTTAATATTGAGATTATATGTTTGAATAAAGTTTAATAATATATGCCATATTGGCCAACAATTGTATGAGTATTGTTTGTTAGGTGTAGATGATAATTAGTTTAACTTATTAAACTTAAAAATTATAGATTAAGAGTCTGTATAGATTGTAATATTGCTAGTCCTTGGGCATGTGCATATTGCTAATAAGATTGCAATGAGTTCAGCTTTGTATGAAGATGGCCAAAGTTGAATTTCAGCTAAAAAACTGTATAAAATTGTATTGTTGTAAACTTGAGCCTATCCTATACTCATCTTACAATATTCTGTTAATATGTTTTTAACTAAACTATTTGTATAAAATGCTAATTGTATTAATGACAGATTCTTTTATGCACTTTGTTGTAGAGTATGAGTAGCTTAATTGTTATTAAATATATTAAGTATTGTATTGTTAGGAATAGAGACAATAGGTAGTGGTTATAGTATTGTAGTCAAATTACATATTGCGAGTGAGTAAAGTAAATCTATAAGGTTAGCATAAAGGTTGAGTTTGTTTGATAAATAGGTTTAGATTTTCCTACCCAAAAACTTGGTTGCAAGATTAGTTGAAATGTTTAGTATACACTTGTTTTCTATATGATTGAAGTTTAGAGAGCATTCTGTATAGATATATTCAGATGAAGAGTATAGAGTAGTATGTGAGTTGTTAAACTCTAGTGTTTAGTGTATAATTGAAATAGTGTCATCTGTCTGGTTATATCTCCTTGCTTTTTTAAATATAATATTATCTATATTAAAGTTAATAATAATTAACCAGGGCTTTGTTCTGTTAAAATAGCCTGTAGTAAGAGGCAGAGAGTTTATCTTAGATAGCTCTAATATGGAGTTAATTTTTCTAAATTGTTGATTAGTAATTAGTTCTGTTTCAATTGTAATAAACCATAGTAGTTTATATCCCTTTGGAATATATTGTAATAAATAGCAATCCTATGTAAGCTAAATAGTTACTTATTAATAAAAAAGTTTTATCATAATTTTGCAAAATAATAGATATGGGTATTATTTAGAATAATGGTCTGATTAAGTTTAATTTAGACTATAATTTTTAAAAATTTTATATCTTAATAACTGTTATAAATTAAAATGAAATCTGATCAAAATGAAAATTTTCTGTTTTTTAAGGAAAATTTAAAACTTTTTAGAAAACATTTTTTGAGGTTCTTTTTAGCATTAGGGGTAGAGTTTAGGGTTAGATTTATTAATAAATAAATATATATAGGTTTTATAAACTCTAAAGGTGAGCATAAGAGATCACCAGTTTCATTTTGATCAGATTTCATTTTAATCTGCGACAATAACTACTAAATTAAATTTAATAAATTTTTTTTGGTGTTAAGGTGACTTCTTGATTATTTTTTTTTTATTTGATTATTGTTAACTTTTACAGTATAGTATACTATATTATGGTTATAGTATATATAATTTCTCAAAAGTTATTTGCTCAACAGGCTATTTATCTGACATCACAAGGATAACCAATTGCTAAAAATATATACTTGCAACTAATCAAACGTTAACTCTAATCCTATATAATGTCAGGTAATTGGCCTATCAGATAAATAGCTTTTGGATAATTGAGCAACAACTTTATACTATATATATATTTGGAGAGTAAAACTAGCCACATGTATAACTTTTGGTTGTCTATTGAAGTAGTCTGCTTATTACTAAGTTCTATACTAGATGTTATACTTATAATCTGACTAGAAGATTATTTATTTAAACTTTTTGCATTTAAATATAATCTTCTAACCAAGCAAGAGTATTAATACCTCTTTATTTTCAGATACTCAACTTAAGACTTTAAAGTAGGCTCATAAGAGCCTTTTATCTTTGAATTAAATCTGCTAAAGCCTTTTGTATCCACAACTAGCTAACCTAGTCTTTAGTTAATACATATAGATCATAGCCTACTACTTGTACCTCAGTTTTATAGCAAAAGTGTTCTTTGGCTGTTTTGTATTTATTGATTTTTTATAATATTTTAACTAT